TGAGTCAGACTGGTAACAGGAAGGGGTGTATGGGGAGGGCATTGTGGGCAATGGGGTTGGCTTGGGAGAAGGCCACAGAGGCAGGAAAGTACAAATTCTGAGGGAGAGTTAAGTGATTGACTCAGAGTAGTACACAAAGTGCTGGTGGGCCGGTGCTGGGACCAGACCATGAGGGTGTTGAATTCCAGGGTGGAGGGAGTCCTGTCAAGTTTAAGAAAGGTCAGAGAGAGTGAGAACAGAGAAAAGGCCCTGGATTCTCTTTCTTACTTTCCATTGCCTCTTCTTCTATGCTAAATGAGGTCACGTCACACCCCAAACCATCCTGCATATCTTCCCAGATCACTGCTAACATACTGCTTTGCCCATACTGTTTACACCCCTGTGGATTCACAAACCCCTACTGAATGAATTCTACCCTTCTTAGTTGAGGTTTCAAGGCTCTCCTGATCTGGCCCATGTCAACCTCTCCAGTCTTATCCTTCAGCTCAACTACCCAACCATCCACTTTACAAGCACTTCCCTGGATGCCCTTCTCTGCCATCTTGTCTCCTCATGCCCACCTCACCTATGTAGGCCCCCCTTCCCCACTCTACCTTTGCTGATACTATCCTTCCAGCCTGAATGCCTTCTCCCTTCATTGGTGCCCATGAGAGTCTCCAAGGCCTGGTTTTGAATCTCCAAAAATTTAAACTCTTAGAAGATGGAAGCCAAGTCTTTATTTTTCCACCTATCAGTGCCTTACAGGTGGCAAGCACCAAGCAAATGTCAAGTGAATAACTAATTATCTTTCATTCCTTCTTTTCCTCCATTCCTAAATATAACCAAGAGTGACTATATCCCCCAAGTAAAGACCTTCCATCTGTATGATGCTTTAGACTTTCCAAAGGTTATGGCAGAGCAGTCCAGAACACCTAAGTGGGAGCCAGACTGCTGGGGTTCCAACTGTTGCTCTTCCAGTTACCAGCTGTGTGACCTTGGGCAAGTTACTTAACTTCTCTATGCCTCACTTTTCTCATCTGTATAATGAGGAGAATAAAGGTACCTACCTCATAAGAGTTTTTAGAAGGATTAAATAAGCTATTTTTATACAATGCTTAGAACAATGTCTGTCATGTAGTAAGCATTATATAATGCTTGGTTAGCTAAATATATACATATTACATATATGTACACATATGTATTAGTGGTATAGGTTATATACACACATATATAGTAAGTAGTCAGTCAAGTTTAAATTACACACACACACAGGGATGCACAACTGGGGGTCCGCAACAACCTTGTAAGGTGAGCAGAAGTATTAAATAACTTCCCCCGCACCTAGTCACTGGCAGATCCATTCCTGGAACCATCCATGTCTTCCAACTTCTGAGCCAGAAGTCAAAACGTCGAATTTATAGCCGTAATCCACTTCTCCAACACGTGGATAGTTTTCAGATACATAGTGTTTTCTTGACACTGAATATTGAAATTTACTATGGATATTTTAATTATTTTGATTTAAAGTACAAGAGTAGTGTCAGATACATTATATAGGTCTGTCTGTAAGAAAAAAATATTAACAACTTCTGTGCAAAAGTTTTTATATAGGATTTCACAATCTCACAAAGAAATCCATGATGTGGTCACTTTCTACTTGACTATATTCTTCCTGCAGTTAAGGAAAGAGGGAGCAGAAAGATAAATGGAGTGTGTTCAACGGAGAGTTATGCATGAGGTTTTAGTAGAGAAGAACTCAAATAGGAAAATATGCTATTGGAGTACATTTAAATGGATGTATGCCTAGCATGTCATTTGGCATGCAAAGGCTTGTGTTTGCATTAAGCTGATGGAGAAGCTGTTATTTTCTTTGCAGCATGTATTCAAAATGCACCTTTAGAAAATAAAAGCTTTCTTCTACTTCTCTGAAAAAGAGAGAACTGTCTGTTATTTTATTTTAAATACAAAACACATTTAACTTCTGTCAACAGCTTACATTTTAAATAATGCGGTTTGTGCTTGCCTTCATTATCTGTAATTAGAGTTCTCAAAAAGCTTTTAGTGTTTTTCTCCCTGACTTTTACAATTCATTCATTGTAACTTAACGTTTTAGAGAATAGTGGAAACCCTAAGTCATACTGGGAAACTGAACAAAGAAATTTTCTGGAAATTACCATTGAGCTGGGTAGAGAATCCTCAACTCTGTGTTGAACCGCTTTATGATGAGACACTGACACCCTTTTCTTGCTAGTGTAGGTCAGACTCAAATGTTTTCCTTTTAACCCAGGCTAGTTAATAAGCAACGCCATGCTGGCAGCCAGCTCAGTGTCCTAAGGCTCCGTTTGTGCAAATTACCTGCTTACTTTAGCCCTCAGCATCAACATAAAGCAGGAGTCAGGGGTTCAGGTCTTTTCTTCAGGATGTATTTAAAAGAAAGATTTCTCAGATACGCAGGGCCGGCTGGGATGCCTTTTCATCCAACTGTGATAGAGTCACGTGTTTGCATTTCTTCCTTCCTGTCTATTAGCAAGAAGCATACAGACAGCTGAGCAACTGTGTGTGTGTGTGTGTGAGAGAGAGAGAGAGACAGAGAGAGAGACAGACAGACAGACAGAGAGATTGGTTTTCTTCACCCTCTCATTTAAAGATGTAACTGGAACCAGGACCCAAATGGTCTGTGTGTTTGCTTTGGGCAGGGAATATCAACAGAGCCAAGCCTAGAAATGCAAGGTGTGTAGTAGATCCATTGACCTCTCTGCTCGCCCAGCTGCAGGGTGACTCCCTGTTCACTCCCCAGCTTCTTCCGAATGCTATTTTATTTTTCTTTGCAACTGGAGGAGCCAACCAAACTTCCCCCGGACTGGTTTGATAATTACTAAAAACAGACAACTTTGCACTTACACGCAGCCCAGAAAAAGCCGCCCTGGGTCTGTGGTCGAGCCCTCGCTTGGGTCTTGTTCAGGATTCGCTAGCTCACGTTTATAAGGACAGGCCTCATCAGATTTTATGAAAATAAGTAAAGACTCTTCATGAAGCCCATGCTCTGCTCTTCAAAATAGTCATCTTGAGAATGTGTATTAAGCTGAACCGTGAGAAGGTGCTGATTTTCTACGTTTTTTATATAACCTGCAAAACCAGCAATTTCATATGGTTCCACATAGATTCATTCCAGTGATGCTTTTAGTCCCCAAACGATTTTAAAACTCATCCTTTGAAATGAGAAAAATCAAGTTCTTGAACTTCAAAACATTCCATTAATCTCTGTTCACTACACCTTAGTTATAAAATTGGCTCTGAATAACTTATGGTTATTTACAGATGAAATAAAATCTGTCTTATGTGGATGAGAAGTTGACGTAATTTATGAGAAAGTGCCACCACTGACTCCTTGGGTGCTAACTTCTGGAATGTTCCTTCATACATTAGTTGCATTGGAGTCATCACATCTTAGGTGTGTTGTTTCTTTTAAGGAGTGTAATTATGCTTAAAAAAACAACAGGTTTCAGAATTGGTCCAGATGTCTGACTCCACATATAAAAGCAGATTGAAATTATATTGGAAAACTGTGATTTTCAGGTAAAAATCTCTGAAAATCTGTGACTCTTATTCTTCTGCATCTAAGAATACAGACTTGATACAGATATGATAGATATTATAAAAATAAATAATAGTACACTTATTTATTATTTGAGAAAATGTTTTTAAACATCTGTGTCATCTAAAGTGCTTTGGGAAATAACTATATAGATTAAGTTTTTTTCAGATTAGCAGAGTGTTAAATGGGCAGTATGTGTCAAAAGCTTCAAAAATGTTCAGATTCTCCAATTCTGCAATTCTACTTTTGGAAATAGGGCACAAATTTGTGCACAAGCATTTCTGTAACAATAATATAACCAGAATTTTTAAGGATTTGAAATTTTTTTAATTTTCAAAAATTTTTAATTTGAGGATTCATTAAGTTTATAATATACATGGAAAGCAGACATTACAAAATTTTATGTTCTATATATTCCTAAATCTATTAAAATGCAAATTATGTGTATCATTTCTAAGAGAAGAGATAAGATAGGAAGACATCAAGGTTTTCAGTACAGCTTTATTTATAAAGCAAAAAGTTGAAATATCCTAAAATGTTCAACAATAGGGAATTAGTTAAGTAAGTTATGGCATAGTTGTATAAAGAAATATTATACAGCCCTTAAAATTATGTTGTAGAAGAATATTTAGTGATATAGAAAAATGTTCTGATATATCAAGTGAAAAAAGGACATAAGAGATTAAAAATTATAAATACAATGTGATCCACATTTTTTAAAAGAAGAAGTGATATGTGTCATTTTAAAATGAAGAAGAGAGAGAGAGAGTGTGTGTTTTTGTATGTGTGTTTTCATAGGAAAAAGCCTGGATGGCTGTATACCAAAATCTTAACAGTGCTTATCTCTGCTTGCTTTTTATTTTCTTTATTTTCTTTTTTGTATCATAGGTTTTCTACATTGGACATAAAGTATTACTTTGTGGTCAGAAAAACAGTTTTTTTAAAACTAAAACTGTGTATGAGCCTTAATATCTACATTTTGTATTTTGACAAGTAGATTTTATGCAATAAAATTCCTTTAGTAAGGGCTGTACTAATTTGGAGTTTTTTATAATTCCAAGGTTGGGCCAAAATTTATCCATGAATAATGGTTTATTTTGCAAATAATAATGCAGAGGAGATTTTAGAGAAACACTTTTTAGCTTCAGGGAACTTTTCAAGTGCACTGAAAACATGCAGAAGACTCTGTAAATCATTTTTTCATCAAAGCCTGTCCTCTAAGTGCCTCTTCCTGGCAGGTGAATTTGCATATTTGTTTGCTTTATTTAGAAGCAATAGTCTGTAATTCATCTATTTTACTAACAATGTGGCTCTCCCCTGCCAGTTGGAAGGTGATATTTGTAACATATACGTCATATAATGGTTTCCATTCACTCTCCAAGTTACAGACAGACATCTTTGAACAGTTTGGGTCCTGTTTTCACAGGTGATGAAAACGTACCATATGTATCATGCAGAGAGCATCAGTGCAGAAAGCAAGCTGAAAGAGGCTGAGAAACAAGAAGAAAAGCAAATTGGAAGATCTGGTGATCCAGTCTTTCATATCAGACTAGAAGAGAGACATCAGCGGCGGAGCTCTGTAAAGAAAATTGAAAAAATGAAAGAAAAGGTAAGTAAAAACATTGCATAGTCTTTCTGTCCTCACTGGAGGTGACAATACTAAGAACACTGATGCATAGCTGATAGACACACATTGTAAATTATTGTGAAATGGCATGCATTTCCTCCCACGGGAATGAAAAATGTTTAAGAAACACAAAAATCATGTAATAACAGCTGGACATCATTTAGTGGTGAATGCCAAGTATTCAATACACAATGTAGAGAACTTGAATATTAACTAAGAGATTTCATTGCAAATGGGCCTGAAGCCCAAATACACTCTTGTTATTCTCGTAGCTGGGTAATTTTAGTTTGTTATTTAAATCAGATTCAAAATGTAGTTTTCTCAAAGGACTTCAAAGATCATTTGTCTATGTAGAATAAATTGTTTAGAATAATAGAAATTCATGTATGTTTCTCTGTCTTATTTGAAAATGACTTTGTCGTCTTTCCCAATGCCTGGATCTTCTTCATTTCCAGAGACAAGCAAAGTATTCGGAAAATAAGCTCAAGTCAATTAAGGCACGGAATGAATATCTCCTAACCCTTGAAGCAACCAATGCCTCAGTTTTCAAGTATTATATTCATGATCTTTCAGATTTAATTGATGTAAGTACTTAAGTTTTTATATTTCCCATATTAAGATGGAATTAGTAATAACTATATTTCGTTGATTCTAAAACACCATCATTTATTAAAACAATGTTATTTTATGGAATACTCAGAAGGGAAAATGCTGCCAGTTAAACTTTACATGATACTAAGACACTGTTATCAATCGTCAGATGCATGTGAGAAAGTGTGCATCCTAAAACCAATGAAAAACACGTTATTAGGTTCTGTGAAGCTCTGACTGCATGGTAAAGCCAGCTAGGAAGGGGACTCAGTCATTTTTAAATTGTGCAATGGCACAGCCCTTACTGCATTCATTGATACAAAATACATTTATTGGGCCCCTACTACAGTGAGATGCTGAGGCTATGAGAAGCCATATAGAGTTCTTACCCTCTGGAATTTAAAGTGGAAAAGACAGATGTTAAACAAATGACGACTTTATTACAGTTGTGATAAATTCTGTGAAGCATAATATAGTGCCCGTAAACCACTTTTATAAATTTCTCTATCCTTTTCTCTCATAGAGTATGATATAAAAAGCAGTAATTGGACTCATTTAGAACTCTCCAAGCATATATCCCCTGTTATATTTATGCAGCCATTACTGTCATTGTTCTCCAACTTTGACCTTCGGCATCATTCAGAAAATATGTCCTGAGTAGCCCAGTCGTTGTGCTAACACTGGGAGACTGCAAGAATGAAACAGACAAAATCGCGTGTCCAGAAATGCCAATATCTGCAAATAAAGGGAAAAGTGATGTGTTGTAAGAAAAGCACAGATAAAGTGATAGAGGGTCAGAGAGTTGGTTATCTGCTGGAACTGTACCCATATACCGTTTTGTATGGATTGGATTCAACAGTTTTATGATATTGGAAAATTATTTTCTGTGGCTCATAGTTATCTATCCTAATTTAGACATAGAGTAGGTTAAAGCAACCTTATTTTTAGGGTGAATTTAAATTTCAAGTATTTAGCTATTATTTTAGAGCCACAGTTTGGGACTTCTACTGAAGAATTGTTACTTCATTAACACTCTGTTGTGACTTTTTCCTTTTATTTGAATCTAAAAACAATTTTATCCCATAAGATCATAATGTCTTTTTACAGAACCATTTAGTAATCAATAAAACCAGGGAAACTTTTTTCTCTTTTCCTTCGTTACAAGTATTGCAATCAAGTGACTAACACTTAATTGTTTTAAATACAGAAGCTTTTTTAAAAATATATTTATTTTCTTCTAGCACTCTGATGAAATAAAAGGGTTTTTTTCTGCTAGATTGCTGCTAGACTTCCTGAATAAAAATAATTTTTGACCCCTATTTTTAAGCTTAGATCTGTAAGAATTCTGCAAAGTATATGGAATATAGAAGAACTAATGTTACTACTCTGCTTGCTTTTTTTTTGTTTAGGGCTTACGTTAGTAGTGATTGGAGTACGTAGTTAAACCCAAGCCAATTTAACAGGAGTAAAAGTCCCCATGTATTGAAAAAGTATTTCTTTAATACCTACAATGTACCAAGCACTATTCTTGACAATGGGGATCCAGCAATGAGCAAACAGAGTCCTCATCTTCATGGAGTTTATGTACCAGTTGAGGAGACAGACCAAACAGGAATTTACACACACAGTATACATGTAATATATTGTATATTTATATCTTATATATCTATTCATTATGTATATAAGTATTAACAATAAGTTACTATTTATTGTAATAGTAACAATGCCATGAAGAAAAATAAAACAGAGCTATGGGGGTGCTTCTTTTGATGGTGTGGTCAAAAAAAAGCCTGATATTTGAGCAGAGAATTGAGCTGGAGTGCCATGTGGCTGTCTGGGAAAGGAAATCCCTCATACAGAAGGACTGGCAAGGCTCAGGGTGTAGAGCAGAAGAGTGTTTGGCAAGATGCTGAAGGACTAGCAAAGGAGGCAGGTATGGCTGGAGCTGAGTGAGGGAGGAGGAAAGTGCTGGGAGAGAAGGGAGGTGGAAGCCCACTCATTTGGGGGCTTTTGGACAAGGGAAGGGGTTCGGATTTTGTTCTGAGTGTGGTGGGAAGCCGTTGAAGTGTTTTAAGAAAGGAGGTGACATCACCTGGTTTACATTTTAAAGACTCACTCTGGCGTCTGGGTAGAACATAGACTGAGGTGGGTGAGTGGACAAGAGTGGAAACAGCGAGCTGTTTCTAGAGTCTTCTGCAGTTGTCCAGGCAGAGAGGATGCTGGCTTGGACTGGCATGGTAGCAAAAGACCTGTGAGAAGTGGTTGGATTCAGAATACATTGAAAATAGAGCTAATTAGGAGTTTGATACAGTGGGTGAAAAGGAGAGTAACAGTGACTCAGGTGCGGGTCATGAGTAGCTGGGGTAATGATGGTGCCTTTCACTGAGATGGGACCCTGGGGAGAAGCCAGGTGAAGGGCAGGGAGCAGTAGTTCTCTTACGTCTGGTACGATTGAGATACCTGTTGGGCATCTGTGTGGAGGTGTGCAGGAGCATCCTTCATTTTACTGGGATGAATAGGACAGGAATAGCGGGTCAGGATATGAGAGTCACCCTCATTGTCATGGATATTTATTGAGCTCTTACTAGGTGACAGGTGGGTTTCTCAGCAAAATCCCATTCATCATAACCTTGTGAGGTAAATACTGTTTCTCCATTTTATAGATTAAAAGACCGGAGGCTTAGCTAGACTGGATAACTTGCCAAAGGTTACACAGCTAGTAAGTGGTAGGCTTCAAACTCAGACATTTTAACCTCCAGATCTAATTAACTCTGATATAAATAAGTGATAGTTAAATATCCAAGTAATTTTCAATTTTAAAAAAAGTTAGACTTTTAAAAGATCAGCCTTAAATCTAAAATGTGAACAATTCTCTAACAATACAACTTAAGTATGAATTTTATAAGAAATGATAGGAAATTGGTTCGTTGTCACATTCAACTGAAATTGAATACTCTCAGTGAAAATTATACATTCGTTGACTCACTTTTAAGGCAGAGTGTGCATATGTACGTTCTAAAATGGCTGCTTATTTTGTAGAAATCCAATTTGCATATATAGTGGTGATCCTAAAAACCATTAAGCTTGACCCTTCCTAGTGAAAAAGAACCAGATTGATTATTATGCAAAGGAATCTAAAATCCTTCATGCTGGGGCCGGCCCCGTGGCTTAGCGGTTAAGTGCACGTGCTCCGCTGCTGGCGGCCCGGGTTCGGATCCCAGGCGCGCACCGACGCACCGCTTCTCCAGCCATGCTGAGGTCACGTCCCACATACAGCAACTAGAAGGATGTGCAGCTATGACATACAACTATCTACTGGGGCTTTGGGGGAAAAAAACTAAATAAATACAATTATTAAAAAAAAAAAAATCCTTCATGCTGTGTGAGCTTATTTAGCAAAATACCTTTTCTACTGAGCTATCTAATAATTATTAGAAGAGCTGTTATACCTCTAGTGAGAAAAAATCAAGACAACATTTTTAATGCACAGCATTTTGTATGTGAAATGACATAGAAGATACTAAATGTATCTTGATTACATCAAAGCATTATGAATAATCAAAGAATTCAAGTTGAGACCTTTTTTATATAAACCTCCAGTTTTCTTTGGCTTCTACTCATGACAATATCTATCTCTTTTCTTATAAATTTTCTGTGATAGACCATGATGAATGGATCTATTGGTATAAAAAATAGTCATATAAATTTCCCATAGAATTTATATATATATATTTTGTTGTTGTTGTTGTTGTTTTGCTGAGGAAGTTTCGCCCAGCTAACATCCACTGACAATATTTCTCTTTTTGTTTGTGAGCCACCACCACAGCATAGCCAATGACAGACGAGTGGTATAGAGCCGTGCCTGGGAACTGAACCCAGGCTGCTGAAGCAGAGCACACTGAACTTAACCATTGGGCCACCAGGGCTGGCCCTAGAATTTATACTTTAAAACTAATCTATTATTATTACAGAAGCAGTAAACGTACATTGTAGAAAACTAGAAAATACTACAAGCAAAAATAAAAGGATCACATTCGCATTGCCTGAGATCACCACTGTTAAAATGTAGACTTTTTCTGTGTCCACATACATATTTTTAGACCAGAAGGAGAGTACGAAATCATGTTTTACATACAGCTTTTTAACAGGCTTTTTTCTATCATTGATCTCCATCTTTCCATTTCAGAAAATTTTTCTCTCATCTAATAACCAGACAGTATTCCCATTTGTGACCCCAAAAAATGTTTCAATGCTGGTGTGTCTAGACTAGACTCAATTTAGGATCACACACTGCATCTGGGTGATGTGTCCCTTTAGTCTTTTTTTGTCTAGCAAAGTCCCTTGTGGAAGAGACAGTTATTGAGTAGTTCCTCAGAACATCTCAGCTTCTGGATTTGTCTGATAAATTTGTTGTGGTGTCATTTAGCCCATTTCTCTATCCCCTATATTTCCTACAAAGCAAACATTATATAAAGGCTTTAGGAATTCAAGTTAAGCACTTTGCAACAGAGTACATCATAGGTGGTGTTGCTACATCTTATGTAGATATGTAACGTCTGTTTAACCCACCAGTGGTGATGCTAAAATTGATCACTGACTTAGGGTGACGTAACTCTGATTCCCCCATCATGTGGTTAAGCTTTTCCCCCTTGCAACAAACTATGGATATTCTAAAACCTCTTGAATTTGGATTTTATTAAGTTGGAAATCTAATTCGGAACTGAGCAACATCTGAGCTATAATTTACTTTTGGTCAGCAAAATGCTTCCTTAGAGTACCAATTAATAATGTAAATTAAAGGAGAATAACAATTTAAGAAAATATTTTCAGGAACTTCAGACTAATCAATTTACATATATATCATTGACATTCTATTTAATGGGATTCTCTTTTCTAATTTCTACAGGTCTAAAAACTAATAATTCAAAACTTTGATAGACTAGTTCAAGTCTTTCCTATATATTTGGAGATGATCTAATGGTTTTTTTAAAAA